TTTTTTTAATCAATGAAATAATTAAGCTTATTAAAATAATTTAAAAATTAGCATGCATGATTTATATGAATATAACTTTCAATTTGGCAATTGACTTTTAAAAATATTAATTACAAGATAAGTTTTTAGACATATTGTTCAAAAAAATTTAAGAGAACGACTTGCAAAACACATTTTTTTCTTAAAAAGATAATTAAGGTAAGATAATAATTAGCATTAAAACACCCATTTAATTAAAGTGAGTGAGTACTACTATCTTTAAATTATTTATTAAATAATTACTATCAAAATTTACAAGGAAAGTCTCATGTGGAAAAGAAAATTATTCATATCAATAATAAAATAAGGTTTTTTTTAATATGTACCATAAACTTAAAAAATGTAATAAATAGATACTTTTACCATTAATTTGTGTTAAGATAATAAAAATTGATATTTAATTTATTAATCATCAAATTAAATTTATTCACCTGATAATAATAGTAAAATTAATGTTAATTTTTATATTTTTTATATAACATTATGACAAAATGATTTTTTAATCTAAACTCATAGGGCACAAATTTGAAAAACGCATAAAATAATTTCACAATTTTCATTTAATATTTGAAGTTTAAAATTTTGTATTTTAAGATCACTTAACTGTCCATGTTAGCATTTAATTGAAGGAAGGACCAAGTTGGCATCAGAAAATTAAAGTTTAGGGATGATTTTGATCATTTTTGAAGTTTGGGAAGTAACTTGGTCCAAAACTTAACGTTCAGCGACTAAAAATGATAATTTAACCAAATGGGACAGGCGAAGTCTATATGCGGGAAGAGTTAATCCCTTAAAAAAAAAAAAAAGTCAAAGTCAAGTCAAGAACACTCCTCGCCTCTAAGCAATTATTGTTAATGGGTCCCACATGGCTGCTATCTTGTGCCGCCAATAACTGGATTTTTCTGTACTTTATATTTCACGTGGCTATCTTATCGTTAATGGGTCCCACAAGGCTTATCAATATTGTCTCGTATCGGCCGGCACCCTTGACTGCCGTGCACTGGTTTTAAGTTTAATTGGAAATGGTATGAAGTTGAATTTTATTTTGGTCAAACATTAGTCATTTTGGGTAAATTTTAGTGTATGGGTTGGTCGATCAAAATTTTGTTGGTATGAGTTTTTTAAATTTTTTTATAAAATCATTTATGAAACAATATCGTAAAAATATGTTTATTGTTCAACATTAGTAATATACTTATTTTTTAACAAAATATTTTTGTTTTTCTAATATATATAAATCATGATTCATGACTTAGATATCAAATTATTATTATTATTTACTAAATAAGTCAAATAATTATTTAATTAAATTTAAATTTAAAAGAATATATTACAAATCTAAATAAATACTTG